ATAATATAAATTTTTACATATAAATATTTCTAATTTTGATTTATATATATATATATAAATAATTTTTTAATTATATTATTAAGCGGGGCGGGGCTAGTGGCGAGTATGGGGCCGGGGGCAAGACGGGTATTAACATCCCCGTCCCCGCCCCCGATTTTATCAATCGGGGAAAACTCGAACTCGAACCGAATATGATAAACACGAGTTTTTCTTGCCCAAATCGGGGCGGGTTCGGACGGGTACCCACGGGGCGGGTTAGATTGCCATGTCTACCCGTTGTCGATCTTTTTCCCCCCACCAACTACCCAGTTGAACCTGAACTCGTAGAAAAGCTAATAACCACCACCAAAGCCAAAGTTGAACCTGAAGAGAAACCCGCAAGCATCAAAGATGCAAAGAAGGCCTTTGAAGACAAAATTTCCAAATCGATTTCCTTCAAGGAGGAGACCAATGTGGTTGTCGACCTCCCCCGCCCCGCCGCAACCATAATTGTAGTCACAAGACCACCCTTCCCACTCCACTGCTCGCACTCCCTCGACCTCACCTCCAACAACTTTGCCTCCCCTTTCTTACTCTCTTGTGCCATCTTTGCTCTCCTCCGCTCACTACCTCATCATCACATACTCACACAAGACCATCATTTCCACTCCACCTCCAACACTGTCGCACACCTTCTCCATAATTGCATCTCTCTCACTGAAATCCAATCAGATCAAGCCCACAAAGCCCTAACCCGCTTCCCTAAATCCACCTTGCTTGCATTGGGTTCTATAGTGGCAACAACGATCGACAAGTGGCAACTTCTAAAAACAGGGTTTTTTATAGTAATTTTAAATAATTTATATAAAATAATAAATAAAAATTGTTATTATTCACTTATCCATTGGTGGACAATATGATAAGCTTGTCCACCGTAGTCAATGCCTAGTAAAATGGCATGGGTCTTTAGCTTCTATTCCTTTTTTTTTCTTTTACTTTTGAATATGTTGTTAAAGTCTTACTCTTTAAGTTTCTCACACGAATTAGTAAGCATAAGGAAGAAAAAGAAGTAAAAAAAGTGTTTGACATAGGAAAGTGCAAGGGATAAATTTGGAAGAAGTAAAATTTTTCAAAAGTTAAAATTAAATAATATTTTATTATTATTTTTAAGTTGGACAATATTTTGGAATGTATATTTAGATGCCGAAGCATTTTTCATTAAATAAACTATATCTTTAACTTATACCACTAAGAATGATAAGTAAACTTGTATTCTTAGGTAATACGCGAAGTCGCTCTGACTTTGACGAAAAATACCTAATTTGATTGAATACAAATACATTTTTTTTAGAATTTACTTGACATTTATATAATTTTTATTCTATTTTAAATTTATTTTAAATAAAATTTAAATAATATAATTTTATAATTGTTATTCTCTGTTAAAAAATCTATTTATTTTTATATTTTTTTTATAAAAAAGATACTCAATTAGTTTTTGAACGAGTATAGGTATACCCGATATCCAACGAAAACAAAAATGAAGATGAAAATTTTATACTCACCAAGTATAGAAATGAGAACAGGTAAAAGATATGAAAATGAGGATATTGACACTTGTACAGTTGTACTCGTCCCGTTGTCTTCCCTATGTAGCACTTCTACATAAAAAAAAAAAAAAAAAAACTTATGAAACAACCCTAGTTTAAATGATTAAATAAATTTAATTTAGTTAATTGTGGTTACAATTTTTAAATTAACTTTTAGAAGGTGGTCAATTAAATTTTTCCAAAAAATAATAACAGATGACAAAAAGAAATACTTCTATTAATTTTTAATATATTTTAAAATGTTAAAGTTCATACTTAAAACATAGATAGTCGAGATATATACTTTAAAAATCACAGTTTAATCCTAAAACTTAAATTTGAGTTCTAGTTCAACATTCCGGCTAGAAAAACTGAGTATGAAAACAACTGTTTTAATGCATCACTTATTTATGAAATTTCTCAAGCTAGTCCCTCAACATGATATAAAGCAAGATCACCTCAACAAAGATAAATACTTGATGTCAAAACTCTGTTACAGGTGTAAATAAAAGGTTTGAGTGGTAGTGTTTTCCATCATCTTCGTTATCCTTTTCTATATTTGCCAACGTTTTAACTTCACATTGAAGAATGAAACAAATGGATAATAATATCACTACTCTTCAGCTGCCTTCATTTTCGTTTTTAATAGGATCTGAGCTCACAGTTGGAAGATTTCTTCGGTACTGCTTAGATGACAATCTCCTTTCCAGTGGCGTTTTCCTCTTGCTTACAACAAATCTGTTCACCCCTTTGCGCATAGGCATTATTGAAGGAAAATCTTCATCTGGAATCTGACTGAGCTCAGAAATATCCTTAATCTGCGCCACGCGACGGAACCACCTCTCCGCCTTTGCCTCCTCTGACATGTCCAAAGGATCTGGTTCCTTCACAGCTGACCCCTCCAAACTCTGTCCTGACCATTCTGCTCTAACACTCTGGTTCTCAGAAGCTGGACTTGGGGTTGAACTCCCTGTCAAATTCGGAACATGATCTTGACTGAAACTCTGCCTTGAATTTCCACCAGTTGTTGCCCTATACATAGCACCAACATCATTGTTATTTGAGCTCTGCTCAGAAGATTTTGGACCTTGTTCAGGTCTAGCTCTAGCACCATCTGAGATCTCTGGAGGCTTCTCTGCCATTTCAGATATGGAAGATGTATCATCATTGGAAGTATCCGCTGAATCTGCAGCTCCTTCTGTCTGCTGCTTGTCCTTTTTGGCAAAGTAATCTGGGGGGAAGGGAACAAAGGGGACAAAGTTGGTTTTGCCGGATTGCTCCATGGCCGCGCGTCTCTTATATGCTGGTGTTGTCAAAGAACGATCCTTTTTCTTGCTAACAACAAATCGATTTTCTCCTTTACGCATAGGCATTATTTCAGGGAATTCCTCATCAGATATTGCACTTGTTATATCTGGAAAATCATTCAGCTCAGAAACCTTTCTAAACCACCTCTCAGATTTTTCTGCTTGCTCTTTCTCCTTATCCTCTATGATGCTTTGGCTTGTAGAATTATTATAAAGCTGTGAACTGTCTCCAGAACTAGCATATCTAACATCAGTGTCGAATACCACCTTTTTCCTTTCCTCTGCTAGAAAGTTCTCGGACTTTTGCGCAAGTGCGTCTGCAGACAATGGAATGGGAGGAACAGTACTAGTGTTGTTACTAGCAAATGAAGGCAGGCTGTCTCCACTGGTATTTTGTTCAGCAAAAGTGTTCTTATTGTCAGATTGAGGAAAGCCAGCTGAACGACCTAGAATGTCATCCAGTGTGTCATGGGACTTGATTGGTTCCCCAGCTTTAAAATCCTCAATCCCGGGATTGTCATTATTGGACAAGTTTCTCTTGTATTGAGCATTAGCCAACCTCCTCTCCAATGGAGTTTTCCTTGTGCTTACAACAAATCTATTTACCCCTTTCCTCAATGGCATTATTTCAGGAAAATCTTCATCTGCTATCACACTGTTAATATCAGCACCGCTGTCTAGTTGAGAAACCTTGCTAAACCAACGCTGTGCCTTTTCTTCATTAGCAGCTAACCTCACATTGACATCTGAAGTATTAGGATTGTTTCCATTTTCGTACCCCATATTTGACATGGTATCAGTGGCACCCAAAGATATTTGTCCAGGTCGCTTGCAATCACACCTTAAGCAAGTCATATTCCTCCCATAGTTGTAGAAATCACACCTTCATAATGAAAATCCTGTTAATTGGATGTAATCTACATCAAAGGTTACGGGGAAAAACCCGGGAGGATGATACTTACTGAGGACATTCCCATTCACCTCCAGCCAGTTGTCTTTTCGGCCTTGCTTCCTCACACTCAAGACATTTGACGTTTCTTGCAAAATTCATGAAATTACACCTGCTCAATATTAAACAGTGTGCAGAGTTATCAGAATGTAGTATAATACTTGAGGAAATAAAATTAATTATAACAGTTGCTCCTCATTCTCTCCATGGTTTTCCGGAATTACACAAAGTAACAGTTGATAGTTCATTGGGACTCAGTTAAAATTAAAAGTAATAAAAAGTACCTTGGGCAAACCCAATCACCCCTCTTCATTTCAATTTTTTGTCCAGGAGGCTTTGTCTCTCCAAATCTGCCAGCCATTTGATTTTGTACTGAAGCAAAAGAGTTAGGACCAGGTGCACTATAACTCAGCTTGAAAAGTTCACCGAATAGATTTCTGACAGATGATTCAACAAGTTCTCTTTTATTGAGACTGTTCCCTTCTGAAGAGACAAATGGGTTACTTGCATAACTCAGCAGAAACTTCATTAGATCAACTGTATTTGCTCTATCAGCGTCCTGTAAAGAACATATCAAGCATAACTAGATCAGCAACTGTTTCAACGCACTTGTCAAAATTAGAAATCAAGTGTTAAGACATGAAAGAAGACAAGTTCCATTCCGTACATACAATACGCATGTACTGTCTCATTTATTTTGGAATAAATTGAAACAATTAGCCTTTGCATAAGTTCAGGATTTCAGTCAATCTCCACATTTATTTTGACCCATAGGAGATACGCATTTAAGAAAAGGTTATGAAATTGCATTTTAGTTTACCAATATGCTACTTACACAGTAATGATGTTTACTAAATGTACCAATACTAGGATATTAAAAGAAGCAGTAACTCAATTTGAATAAAGTATTTATCTTTTTGAGCACAGATTACCCAATTTTATTAGGGAAAGAAAA